ATCCCCAGAAAATGTCCAGCAATGCTTCTGTGTTTTTTTTTTTTATATACTTCATTTGAAACTTAGCGTGTGTGCATGGTATGTGTTACAGAACTTCAATTCATCCAGCTTCCCATGTCTTTGCTGCTGTCAGTCATTATACACTGGCTTGTCTTGTTATCTTGACTAGTGACTACATGTTTTTTAATGCATCTAACAAAAACACTTATGCAGTTACAACCAGCCTTGGCTACATCATTCAAATGCATAAACCAAAGTAAAAGAAGTCATTTATTTAAACCCATTGATGCTGTTATGTTATTTGGCCACAGCAAAGCAATGTGCAATTTTTTTGTTCTCAGCGCCACAATACTTGTACTGACATAAGAACTTGTACGCAAATGAATGTTTTATAATTTTTTGGATGCAGATAGAGAGGTGTGTTTTATTATTGTTGGCACTGTACCAGGTGCGGACTGACAACTCATGGGGCCCCCGAGCAATAGGGGATCATGGGGCCCCTGTGTCCTTGCCCAAACTCAAAAAAGCCTATGAAAAAGGTACCAGGGGCATCTCATGGGGCCCCCTACTGACCCCGGGCCCTCGGGCAGTGCCCGAGTTTCCAAATGGTCAGTCTGCCCCTGCACTGTACTCAGTGATGTATTTTGGTTTTGTGCTGCCCTAGGCAAGAATAAAATTGTCCCCCCCCACACCACCACCATCTGAATTTGTCCCAAGCCAGCCATGGTATACTGTACTTGTCTCAGTGTCTGATGAGGAAGATGCAGCCGTTCACAGTGAACGGCTCATCAGACCCTGAGACATGATTTGTCCAACTGCCATATATGTGGTCAATGGGGCAGAGGATGGGGTCAGCAGAGCATAGGGTCAGCAGGGCACAGGACATGATCAGTAGGGCAGATCATGTGGTCATTGGGGCAGAGGATGGATTTAGCAGACCTCTCTCTCCCTTCTGTACACTATACACACTTCTCTCTCTCTGTCTCTCTCTCTCCTCTACACTATATACACTCTTCTGTCATAGAATTGCTAGTATGGCTGCTCTTTTCTTTTTTCCCCACTCCATCCCAGCCTGATGTGTCTGTGTCCCAGCTCTCTCACCGCTGCTACTCTGAAGGGGGAAGAGAGAGTGTTCAGCAAAGTGTTCCCGGAGGGTAAAAGGGGGTTTAGACTTTGTGGCAGGCACTCTTTTAGGGAAAGAGGGGGTTGCAGAACTCACCCCAGTCGTCTTCGGCTTCTCCCACTGGGGGGGAGCACATGGTGGTGCTGGGTCGCTGTCATTTTTGGAGCCACCAGAGGAGGGCCGGGGTGAGTAATCCCCAGCTGTCTTGGACACTTCCAGCCAGATCCTAACCATTTGTCCTCCAGAGGATTTACCTCCCTTTCCTGACCAGGCCATTTTTTGCGTTATGGCGGTGCGTTACTTTAATTGACAATTGGGCAGTCATGCAACACTGCACCCAAATGAAATTTACGTCCTGTTTTTCCCATGAATTGAGCTTTCTTTTGGTGGTATTTGATCGCCTGTGCGTTTTTAATTTTTTGTACTATAAAAAAAAGAAAGACAGACAATTTTGAGAACTTTTTTTGACTTTTTGCTATTAAACATAACCAGTAAAAAAAAAATTAATAATCAAATTCGTCATAAATGTAGGCCAAAATGTATTCTGCTACATGTCTTTGCTTAAAAAAATCTCAATATGTGTAAATGAAATGGTTTACGTGAATGTTTTAACGTTTACAAATGGCGGTATATTTTTTTTGTACTAGTAATGGTGGCGATCAGCAACTTATAGCAGGACTGTATGCGGGCATTCTGGCACTGGGGGGAACTGACTTGGTGTCACTGACATCCCCAGTGACACCAATACAGTGATCAGTGCTAAAAAAAAAGCACTGACACTTTACTAATGGCACTGTGCAGGAAGGGGTTAAAATGAAGGGAGATCAAAGGGTTAACTGTGTGCTGGGAGTGTTTTATTAGGGATCTGTGTCAGTGTGCTTCACTGTAAGCACACTGCTTTGGATGGCTGTGCTGTGCTTAGCCATTCAAAGCAGTGTGCCCGAGCTGACAGTAAACAAAACAGTGCTCCTCCCCATTGGAGATTGTCGAAAATCACCGGACGCTGACGAGTAATCACCGACCAGGACCTGGTTATTGACGGATGTGAATGGCGGCGCAGGTAGGGTGCGTGCGTGGCTCTCATGCACCCCCTACCCAGAAATGCAAAATCACATATATATACAGTATACATGATTTTGCGCACCCGTGCTGCCCTGTAGCAGTATATCTGCTATATGGTGGATGGGAAGCAGTTAACCATGTCAGTGGAAGGCACAGAGAGGGTAAATAGGTTGCTTGTCGTGAACTCAGGATGGCATAAGCCTAGCCCACCTTCCCCTGCTCGAGAACTATCAAGCCCGCCCTCCTGCCTAAACCCTGCCACCTGCCTGAGCACTGCCGAGCTCTCCTGACCTACCAAGCCCTGGTCCCTTGTCTCTTCTGCCTGGGGGCAGTGCCGCTCCCCTGAAAATTGCCTCCCTAGGCAAAAGCCTTGTTTGCCTCATGTCAGATTCACCCCTAACTGTACTGTATTGCACAAGGAGCTATGTACTTGTCAGGATGCTTTCTTTCATCCCACAAACCGATTGGTGGGTGAGAGCAAACTGTGCTTCTTGATCACCTGTCAGTATTTGATACACTGCTGCTAGCTCTGATGCTCTGATTGGTCACAATGACCACTCAAATTATCTCTGCAGCTTCTGCTTTTAATAAAGCTGGAAAGTGCAAAACCAGGCTCACTTCTGCATAGAAACCAATCTGCTCCTAACCTCAGCTTGTTCAATCAATCTTTGGCAATCAAACTTGGAAGCTGATTGGTTTCTATGCAGAAGTGATCCTGATTTTGCACTCTCCAGTTTTATCAATAAACCCCACTGTGTCCAGTCAGAGAATGAATACAGGACTCTGCATGGTCAAACATCCCCCTGGAGTGATAGGGAAGTTGACTGGCTGTAGGTGTACAGTGGCAGGTCCACAAGAGGAAAATGCCCATTGTAGGAATTAAATAGTCATATTCTGGTTACTGTCTGGGGTAGATGTTTCATAATTATAATTTTAGGTATATCCATTCATTTTTCAGAGGCCTTTTTGTGTTTTTTCTTGACCATTTTATTAAGGCTTTTTTTCAGCAAATGTTAGGAATACAGGGTTGGTACAAACCAGGTAACACTACTAGTCTTGATTGAAATGGACATCTTTTATATGAAAAAAAAATATACATCTGTAACTGCATACATAGTATTAGCTGCAGTTGAGTTTTAGCTTGTTTGTTGCTTATATACAATCCATGTACATCTATATGACTATCCATTTCACAGTGTGACAACACTGCATTGATTTCATCGCAGAAAAAAAAAAAACATTGCCATCCACTACAGGAATTGGAAAATCAACAGATCTACTGTGTAGTATCAACAGGCAATAAACTATGTTACAGGGGGGTTCAGTGTTACTGACAGACAGCATCATATATGAAATGTATGCTTTTGACCATAGTTCTAGTTTAAATATTATAAATTTCAACTCCAGGTGAGCCTATGTATACTGGAAATGCTAACAATATTTGTGATGGCTAGGGATATTAATTCTGTGCTGATCTATGATACTGACCAAATACTTTATTTACAAACTGTTTATTTGAGAGTGTAAAATACCCCACAAATAACAGAGGTGAAGCATCAAAAAAGAATAAGAATGTGAAGATAGGATATGATGCTAGTGGGTAGCCATCATCCATAAATAAATATAATATATATATATATATATATATATATATATATATATACTGTAAATAATCAATTTTTATTTTAAATATAAAAGGTTTACAAAATTTTATTGGTACAAAAAAAATTTAAATTAAAGGATCAGTTTGCCTTTGGGTACATGTTACATTTTCCACCCGTTTTTAGGGTGGAACATGAAACATGTTCCCAATGCTGCAGCCGCTACCTGATTCCCTACCCCCATCCTCTGTGACAGGGAGGAGAAGTTCCCAATACTAGTCAGTTTTTAAAATCAGAATGGACGTGTGGGGCTCCACCCACATGGCCACATCATTCATTCGCAGAGGTCTGTTAATTAAGTTAAAAAAAAAAAGTAAAGAAAGTATTTGCACATATACAATACTACATAGTAAGTCATAGTAAATCATGTTTCGAAGTCACCTTCTTCTTCAGGGGTGCTTTCTATGCATTCAAAATATGCTACAATTCAAAGAATATATTTCATTGATATCAGTATGTTATGATAAATATACATCATATTTGCATCAGAGTCATTACTGGCCTTAAAGTGAATTATAGAGAAATGTATAGCCACTGATCTAAAAAAAACAAATTAAAAAACAAATGTTGATGTTGTCCCGCCAATCCACAGGCAAGGAGGGCCCAGAGGAGTGCCCCAAATTTTTGCCCCTGAGGCAACCATATAATAACTGGCTAACAAAGAATTTAAGCTTCAGTACTTTCAAAATGGATTCATCAGATTAGTAAATATCTAAAAAGAAACCAGGTACTTGTGACTCTCTTCGACTGGGGATAAGTTATTTATTATATGCCCACATATTGCATGTGTAATATTTATATGGAAATTTATATATTTTTCTTATAGATCCTGTCTCTCCCATCCCCCGCCATATCCCTCCACCCCTCCCTTCCCCCTGGCACATTCTGAAGTCTGGGGAGCTCCATGGACAATGCTGGGCCGGCCGTTGCCGAGGCAACCTAGCCGCGTCCCACTTGATTTTCAAAACTCTCGCACAGGAAGTAGCCCTTCTCTCTCTGTTCCTGTCCATGCGACTGGAACCATCTTGCTCCCAGAAAGATGCTGGAAGGCTCGGGTGAGGGGGACCGAGCCTCCCCAGCCATCCCCCCTGCGCACTCTGCAGACCCCAAAAGGTCAGGACTGTAGCCCTCTACAATAGCCCAGGGTTGGGAGTCTCCACAGCTCTGCATGAGGCTTCTCCTCAAAGGTCAGACCCCACAGCTGAGACCCTGCCAGTCTGTAAGCCTGTCTACTAAGCACCCTTGCACCCTGTCTGCTGCTGAGTGCCCTGGGAGCTGCTGCTGAGGGACCCTGCATACTGTCCATGGCTGCGTGTCCCTGGAGGCTGTCTGCTGCTGGGTGCCCTGGGGGCTGCTGCTGAGGGAGCCTGCACACTGTCCGTGGCTGCGTGTCCCTGGAGGCTGTCTGCTGCTGAGTGCCCTGGGAGCTGCTGCTGTCTGCTGATCACTGGTTGTCCCTAGAACGCTGACCGCTGGTCGTCCCTGTCTGGAGCCGCCTGCCGGTGAGGGCCTGCAAGCTGCTTACCGTGAAGAACAGAGGTTCATTACAGCGTTAGTGTCCTGAACTGTCCCCGCTGTGTGCACCGACCACCACCCGTGTCCTGAACTGTGCCTGCTGTGTGCATCAACCACTCGTGTTCTGAACTGTCCCTGGTGTGTGCACCGACCACTCGTGTCCGAACTGCCCCTGCTGTGTGTGCACTGACCACCCGTGTCCTGATGGCATGCCCGGAGAATAGCTACCTGTGGTGGCCCTGAGTGCTTGAGCCCATTCGCTACCCGTTGAGTCCCATGAACCCAATGACCCTAGAAAGCTGGGTGGGAGCTTGTTAGCCAGATATTATATGGTGGCTTTGGTTGCAAAAAAAAGATTTGTCCTGGGGTGCACTTTCCTGGTCACCCCCCCAGCCCCCCCTTCTCCCTGTGGATTGGTGGGACAGGAAGAACAAGGCCTATGATTGATATTGTTTTTCAATTTTGTTTATATCAGAGATATATATATATCACTCTATAAAGCATGCACTCTGCAGCAAATATGATGCATATTTATCATAACATACTGATATTAATTAAAAATATTCTTTTAATTGTAGCATATTTGCATAGACAGCACCCCAAGGAAGAAGGTGACTTCAAAATGTATTGGGTGCTGTACCTCTGGATTATCTATGTAGTATGAATTATTTTGCTTCACTATGTAGTATTGTATATGTGCAATTACTTTCTGTAGCTACAATCTTTGGGCTTTGATGGTCTTTTAACCTTAATTATAATTTTTTGTACCAAGAAAACTTAGCAAACCTTTTACATAAATATTGGTTGTTTATGTAGCCCCATTTGTTTATGTAGCCCCATTTATGAAGTCTCATTCATTAGAGGGTACTCTTGGTCAAAAAATAATAAGGATCATAGTCTGCATTAATTCATTATAGACAAACATGCAATAGAAAAGCGCAACGCTATTGCGCCCCTGATGACGTCATATTGGAGAAATGCATAGGACAGAGCTAGAGGCTATTGGAATGCTGAGAGTTGTGTTTTTTTTAGTGGATGCTGTACACACTTTCCATTGTAAGTGTCTTTAACCTGTTTTAATAAATGTGTCACCTGAAGTTTACATTATTGGGAGCCTGCTTGCTCTGTTTTATATTTTTATACTTATTATATATTCTATCCTTTATCCTGCTGTGTTACAGGAGAAGTGGGGATGTGAGCTTTGGAGTGCCATTTCGTCATGCTGTACATACAACCTTGATTTGACTTCTTGCATGAGAGTCACATATCATCAGATAAGCCTCAGTGTGTGGTATGGTGGAGTACACAAAGTGTTACACAAGAGAAGAATTGTGGGAAAATCACACTGCACACTTCATTCATGTAAAAAAGCTGACCTCCAGGTTACTGTGGACTTTTATCGAGAAGCACATTTTGCACATGAATAATACTGCAGTTGATTATAAGGTTTTGATGTGAATAAGTTTTGAACTTTTATATCACACATGTTTTTTTAATGAATAGTGCTGCACTTTAATATTGTATGTTTGTCATATAATGTACCCTATACTGGGTGCTAGCAGCTTTTTTCATAATCACATGTTTTTTTTTGAGTTTTGGTAATTCTATAGCACAGTTTCTTTTTTTGTTTTTACTTTTATATTCAGTAAAGGCACATTAGAAGACACAAGTACCATACACCATTAGGTAAATACAAAACACAAAAGACATAAAGTAAACTTCATGGCAAAGAATTGAACAACTGCCTCATAGCAAAATAGTGTAAAATTCTCAGAAAATATAGATGTTGATTGGACTTCCAAGAATCCCATTTGGCATTAAACATGTGCATAGTATCATTCAGTGTGTGAAGGATTCTTTCCATGAGCATAATGGCAGCGATTCTAACAACAATGAGAAAGAAAGAAATGCCAGAGGATTTCCATCATAAGGCTATTGCCCAAAGAACTGCAATGCATATGGCCTGGATACATTTCTCTTCATGATGTAAAACCCCTGGAATGGGCACAAAAAGGAAGCACATAGAGGAGGTCAAAGGAAGCGTATGACCAGTAGTTTTAGAGGCAATCTCTAATACATGTTGCATCTTGTCACAAGACCAGAATGTATGAAATAAGGTATCAGGGGAGTGACAGCCTCTAAAGCAAATATCTGAAACATCTGGAAAAATAGCTTGACACTTAATCAGAGTGTAGTACTATCTAGTGAAAAGTTTAAGGGCTGTTTCCCTAATTCTGAGAATTTTTTTTTTTTTTAAATCAGATTTTTTATTTGTATTTTAATCATAAACACACCACCACTTGAGCAGCACTCTCCACAGAACAAACTGAGAAAGGTATTCAAACATATAGTGACAAGACATGGGTAATTCCAAACAGAGTCAGTGATAGTAGTTTCTGTAAACATACAGACACCCATAAGCAGCAGACGTTGGCTCGTTTGGCAGCAAAATAGAGAATACCACAATAGCATAAAATTACATCCATCAATTCATGTATATATTTTCCAAATAATCTTTAAACTAGCAACCTAAACCTAACTTAACAAATAGACCAAAATACCTATATGTTACATATATCGTATATTGCAATGGAATGTCTTGAAGAGAGTAAGATCAGTACTTTAAAAACACCTATTATTCCATACTCAGAGGGACAATAGCCTGTCTGAGATTAGGTGAAATTGGGCTAGACCAGGCACTGCCAACCACGGAGTTCATAATCTATCAAATTTACAAGTGCAATTCCTTTGATAATATGTCAGCTTTTCTTGGGAAATAACAGTATTAACTTGGTTTTTCCATTCTACAATCTTGGGAGGGTTAGGTGACATCAATTTTTGGGTAATCATCTTCTGTGTTATATAAAGCAATCTAAGTATAGAGTCTACTGCCTCGTCAGGTACTAAGGAGTCATCAAAAATATTAAGACGACACAATTTAGGTTCTAGCAGTAGAGTAGTCTGAAACTGTATATGGAGGATATTAGAGACACAACCTCTAGCCAATACCTGTGGAGTTTTGGGCAGTGCCATATCATCTGAATAAGATCTGCTGAACCTCTGGCACATCTAGGACATATATCTGTATCCCTACGTTTCCTCCTATACAGTTTATCAAGGGTATGGTAAACTCTATGAAGGATGAAAAGCTTGGTGAGCTTCTGAGTTGGTGACAAGGGGCTCAATTGACTAAAGAATATCTCATGAAATCTCATGAAATAATTGAATCATGTGACACATTTTTTTTAATTAATGAAAATGTCAGTTCACTGTCACCGTTTGAGGTATTTACCTCACAAACCAAAAACACAAGGTATATAACTCATGAAATGGCATAAAAGTCAATTCACTAATGGAAATAAATAAATAAATGTATGAGGCAAATAAGTAGTGGTGCAGGCATGAGGTATTTAAGGGATGTAAAAAAAATAGCCAATTTGGAGTAGTCTTTACCTTTTTGGATCAGCTCTTTCAACAGAAAGAAACCTAAAAATGGAAAAAAAAACGCAGAATCATTGGTGCAGATTTATGTAAAGTATAACTAAAGGGTAACTAAACTTTTTTTTTTTGTTTTGCATAGAGTGGAGATGAATTAGACCCCCTGTCAAGTTTCTATTGCTGTCTGTGTTCCTCCCTGCTAGGGAGATAAACCCTCTCTATTTGTCCTGTTTACCATTACCAAAACTATAAGTTATTTTATCTCAGATTTTAAGAGGAAAATAACTCTTTGTGAGATATTTGAGCCCAAGGACACCAGAGGAAGATAATTGCGAGAAATTTAGTACATGAATGTGGGTTACATAACATACCTTCCCAATCCTTGGTAGTAAGGTGCAGATTGCAATTTGCTTCCTATTTACTTATATGGGAGGAATTCAGGGAAAAATCAGCTAACTAATACACTGTTTAGATATGAGGTCAAACCTTTACCTCTGGAATAGACACTGCAGATACATTCATAGAAAGATCTTGGAAAGCTAGGGGTGGGGGCATGAAAGTGGCTTAAAAAATGTTTATTTTGTAGACAGAATAGGTGCTTCTGTTGGGGAATATTCCTAAGGTGGCAGAGTCTATCAAATGAGATGAACATGCTGTCATCTTGAAGTGCTGAAAGTGAAAGTAATTTGTTAGTTTGCCACCAGGTGAAATTGCGGTAGACCAAAAAAGCTGCATCAAAAGGTCAAGGCTATTACTGCATGTAGCGTTCACTACTACTGTAATTTTGAGCACAGTAATTTTGGAATTCTGCTTTACGTACAAAAAAAATGGATGTGTTATCACACCTAATCTCAATGGCTACTTTGACGCAACATTCACATTTTGCTAATTAAAACTATATGATATAATACTAGTCTAGCAGTTCTTTTATTTAAAGTACAAACACATTTGTTTTTATTTCAGTTTTTCTATTTGAAACCAGCTTAATGTTTTAATCATTTTAAACATTTAAACTATGGAAAACGTGGTAATACTGTGTGCTTTTTATGCGCTTTGTGTATTTAGCTAACCTTTTTTCCAGAAGTCTTCACACAGCTAAAATTAAATGCTCAGGTTTCCCCAGCTCTGTCCTTACTGCATTGATCTTTTCATTTTTGTTAATATACTAAGAGTCTGGCATGCCTGGAGGTATGCTCAGATTCAGGCTTTCTTCTCTTAAACCGCTAGGTTTGATTTATACTGTAGCCTTGCTGTTTAGGAGTCTGATGAAACTAAGTACAATGGCTTGCCTCTAGAAGAACAGAACCTGGTATGAATTTTCTTTCAAGTTTTCTTAAAATGCCTGCAATGTACTCACAGTATATAAATAAGCAACAAATTGTTTTACTCTCAACCAATGTTGGGTTTCACTTCCTTTACAGACTTAAGGTGATAACTAAGACTTTGGTAAACAGGACCATGATGTTAATAGGGTACAGATTGCACCCCTAGTCTACTAAGGAGGTAATAAACAGTGAAGTCTGCTCTATTGTAGCCTCTTCCACTATTGAGGTAAGTTGAAGTAATAGTTAGCACTGAGTGCTGTCATCATTCTTGCTTTCCCTTGCCTATTAACTAACAACCTGCTTGTTGAATAAGAAACACGCCGTCCATTGAGAGTGCAGTGTGCATACACCTGTTCTACAGTAAATATCCCTTAAACAGTGTAGGTTTAGG